CATGGGTTTGATCCCTGGGTTGGGAAGATCCCCTGCAGAAGGGAAAGGCTGCCCACTCCAGTATTCTGGCCTGGAGAATTCCATGGACTGTGTAGTCCAAAGCGTCACAAAGAGTCGGACTTGATCGAGAGACTTTTACTTGATAAATAGAAGCTCTGAAATTCAGTTTATCACACTTCCTTTTGTGGATATGGCTTTCTGTGTCATGCTTAAGAAATTTTTGCCAAACCCAAGGTCACGAAAATACTCTCCTATGTTATCTTTTAGAAGCTTTATTGTTTTTCCTTTTACCATTGGACCAAAATCCATCTGGAGTTAATTTCAACTTAGTTTTAAGAGTGGTCAAGTTTGTTTTTCAACATGTAGAAATAAGAAGACATACAGAAGGCCAACAAAGATGTGAAAAGATGCTCAACATCACTAATTATTAGAGAAATTCATATTAAAACCACAATGAGGTATCACCTTGCACTGGTCAGAATGGCCGTCATCAAAAAATCTACAGACAACGAATGTCAGGGAGGGTATGGAGAAAATGGAACCCTTTTGAATTGTTGGTGGGAATGTAAATTGATGCAGCCACTCTGAAGAACAGCATGGAAGTTTTTTAAAAAACTAAAAATAGAGCTACCATTGACCTAGCAATCCCTGCACTCCTGGGCATACGCCTGGAGGAAACTGTAATTTCAGAAGATACAGGTAGTCTAATGTTCATTGTGCAGCTGTTTACAACAGCCATGACAAGGCAACAACCTAAACGACCATCAACAGAGGAATGGATAAAGAAGATGTGGTGCATATATACAGTGGAATATTACTCAGCCATAAAGAGGAATGAAATTGTGTCATTTACAGAGATGTGGATAAACCTAGAGACTCACACAGAGTGAAGAGAGTCAGAAAGAGAAAAACAAATATTGCATATCAACACATACATGTGGAATATAGAAAAATGGTACAGATGAACTTACTTGCAAAGCAGAAATAGAGACACATATGTGGACAACAAACATATGAACACTAAGAAAGGGGGAAGAAGGTGGGAGGAATTGGGAGATGGGGATTGAGATATATGTATATATATATATATATATACACACACACACTATTGGTACTATGTATAAAATAGATAACCGAGGAGAATCTACTCAGGGGACTCTCCCCAATGCTCTTTGGAGATCTACATGGGAGGGAAATTAAGAAATGAGGGGATATATGTATACACAGAGCTGAGTCACTTTGCTGCTCATTATAAACTAACACAACATTGCAATGCCACTATACACATTAATACAAATTAATACAACTTAATTTTAAAAACCACTGCAATGATGTAAAGTAATTAGCCTCCAACTAATAAAAATAAATGGAAAAAAATAAACTAGATTGTTGTAGGTTAAAAAAAAAATAAAAAAATAAAAAGTATCATCATTTCTCCCTTGTATTACAGTGTCACCAGTGTCATAAATAAAGTGGCCATATGCTTACAGGCAGGTTTTCGAGCACTCTTCTTTTCCATTAGCTTAGTTATCTATCCCTGAGGCAACACCATACTTTAACTACTGTGACTTTGTCGCACAGCATGATATTTGCAGCATAAATCTTCCAATTTTGTTCTTCTTTATGAAGCTTTACAATGCAATATTCTTCTTTACTGCTTATATTCTTTTTAATTTTACGTTTCCCTTGGTTTTTAGAAACAGCTTGTCAGTTTTCAAACAGGCTCATACACACAGACAAACACACATTCACTGGGATTTTTGATTGAGATTGCATTGACTCTTAAGGTTAACTTGAATAAAGCTAGTATGTTTACCACGAAAGTGAAAGTGTTAGTGCTCAGTCGTGTCCGACTCTTAGTGACCCATGGACTACACAGTCCATGGAATTCTCCAGACCAGAATACTGGAGTGGGCAGCCTTTCCCTTCTGCAGGGGATCTTCCCAACCCAGGGATCGAACCCATGTCTCCAGCGTTGCAGACAGATTCTTTACCAGTTGAGCCAGCAGGGAAGCCCAAGAATACTGGAGTGGGTGGCCTATCCCTTCTCTAGGGGATCTTCCCAACCCAGGAATCGAATTGGGGCCTCCCACACTGCAGGCGGATTCTTTACCAGCTGAACTACAGTAAAGCCCCAATGCAGGCATATCCTTCCACTATTTTAAACTACTCGTAAATTTTTCAATATTTTGTAGTTTTTTGTGTAATAATACTGCATATTTTAAACATCTGTTCCTATGTATTTGATGTTTTATAATTCTTTTCTATATTTCGCTGTCCAATTGTTTATTACTAATATAGAATACAATTGATTCTTTTGCATATTGACTTTATATCCATCAGCCTTCCTAAATTTACTTATTAATTCTAAGAGTTGTTGAAGCTTTTAGGGTTCCTCCTTTGTTTTGGGTCTTCTCAAAATTTACAAAGACTTGTCTAGGTATGGATTTTCTTTTCACTATTTTTGCTTCTCTTCAATAGCTTAAAATATTCTTCCCATAAATCAGTGATATGCACACTCTAATTACAGATGTCATGTAGAATCTTTTTTTTCTCTCTTCTCACTCAGCTTCAGAGAGCCTCTGCCCCAGATGATTATCGGGGGTTTTGACACCCACTTGCAGCATTTAATACCATTCCTGCCTGTTTTTGTAGTAAATATTGTATCTCTGTTATTAGCAATTTCATAAGCCTGTGTGGGATCCCTAATAAGATATCTCAGTGTTGATTTCATGGTAATGCATACTTTAAATTAAAAAATAAATTATTTGTACATATTTATAAAAATTCAATGAATAAAATAAATTTGCAGTATATAATGAAATGGATATCTTACAAAAAGTTTGCTAGGTTTTAGTGAATCCTGGCATTTAAATTCAATAAACCTCTGTTGCCTTATTTCGAAATTAGGGTGCTAATAACCTCTATTTCATAGTGTTATAAGAATTAAATGAACAAAGTATTCAATATTGTGAGCTCTTAGGATTAGTTCTCAAAATTATGCCAGCAATTAGTTAACCAGGAAATATTAAAATGAAGGCATCATTTCTCTTAGCCTAGGGTAATTGTCACAATAATACAGCTATTTCCCACAGACACACATTTGCAAAGCTTTATTTAATAAATTCAAGTTACCTAGATGTCATTTGCCATTCAAAACCAATGGCTTCCTAAGTTCTGCTAAGTTACCTAAATGCTTTAATGCCATTTACAAATGAGTACTGGTTTTGCACCTGGGTAATTTGCTCAATAAACATTTACCAAGTGACAGAGGCACTATCTGAGTATTTCCCATATCTTTTGGCTTTGTGACTGGCTTAGCTTCTACTTACAGGGAATAGCAGGGAACAATAATATCCTTAGCAATTTCTAATTCAGGACCGCTTACACTAGAGTCCGTGAATCAATAGGAAATAAGCTTCATTGTCTAACATATTCTTCCAATGTCAAATTAGTAGGTTAAGCCTTGAGCATTTGAGCATTTCCAAAATAATTTCCATTAGGAGTAGAAAAAACACGGGCAAATATTAAATAAGTATAGACTGTGTTTGTTTGCAAAATGCTTGTCATTCTGCTGAGCTGAAAGATGGGCCATCAAAGAGAGCGGCAATTATGTAAGCCATAATACCGGGTATAAAATTACCACCACGGGATCTGGCACATTACAGCTCTTCAGAAAATGAGAATTCCTGTTCTCTGCTCCCTAGGCTGTTACTGCTCCACATTGGCCAAAAGCCTGTTCCAAATGCTGCAGTCCCAACCTGCTACTTCAGCTACTCTGCCTTTCCAAGAAATTCTCTGATCCTTGGCCCCGTTTCTCACTGCTTCTGAACTTCCTAGCTGACTTGGCACTCAGTGTATCCTGCCTGGCATTGTTTAAACTCTTTCTGCACATTTCAGCCGATCCCTTTCAAACTGATCCCAAACTCCTCGAGGGAAAGTTTGCCTGATGCTGCCCTGGTTTCACGGTCCATTGGATGACTCATTGTGTGAAGTCTCAATATTCATCTCACATCTATGCAAGGAAGTTGGTAGAAACTGTGCTGTATAATAAGGTTCAAACTCATATCAGAGGACATGATAATCCCAATTAATAAACACATGCTACTGTATTTAAAATAGATAATCAACAAAGACCTGCTTTATCACACAGGGAACTCTACTCCATATTCTGCAATAACCTATATGGGAAAAGACTCTGGAAAGGAATGGGTGTATGTAGATGTAAAGCTGAATCACTTGGCTACACCCCTGAAACTAACACAACCCTGACGTCAATTATGTGTGTGAGTTCTAAGTTGCTTCAGTCATGTAGGACTCTTTGCGACCTCATGGACTATCATCCAACAGTACTCTTCTGTCCATGGGATTCTCCAGGCAAGAATACTGGAGGGGGTAGCCGTGCCCTGCTCCAGGGGGTCTTCCCAACCAAGGGATCAAACCCACACCTCTTATGTCTCCTGCATTGGCAGGTGGGTTCTTTACCATTAGTATCAACTGGGAAGTCAACTCAACTATACTCCAATATAAAACTAAGTTAAATTAAAAAAGAGAACATGATATAACATGCTTTTGAGGGAACTATACTCAATATTCTATGACAAAGTGTGAGGGAAAAAATCTAAAGAGACTATATATATATATATGTTTCTATATGCATATATAACTGACATGCTGTGCTATACACCTGAAACTAATACAAAATTGTAAATCAACTATACTTCAATTAAATATATATACACACACACACATTTAAAAAATCAACCATCAGGTAAATGGTTATTTCTTCATCTGTAGAGCATGCAATTCTTGAGATCACAGACTTTCACTGCTAATCTACATGTACACTAAAACGATGGCCAGTGATTTCATTAGTGCCTTTAGACTCTTCCAGTGTAAACCAGTCTACACGTGCTGGGTCTTAGGACAGACGACACGGAACTGCAGCGGTTTGGCAGCTCTTATTCCTGCTCCTGGCCTAAAGAAAGAATATTCCTTACCGCCAATCAGCATGGTGCAGATGGAGAAGATCTTTTCTGCATCCGTGTTAGCAGAGACATTCCCAAACCCCACACTGGTGAGGCTGCTGAGCGTGAAGTACAGAGCAGCGATATAGGCACTTCGGATCGACGGCCCACCCAGGGTATTGTTCCCATAGTAGGGCGATTCCAGTCTCTTCCCCAACTCATGGAGCCAGCCTGCAAAGGAAGAAAAAATGAGCATTTAAGCCTCCCAAATAAAGTCCCAGTATTAGCACCTGGCGGTAATGATGAATGAACATTTAAGGATGCACCCAGGTGCTTGGGAGAAAGAATGTTAAAAGCAAGTCAAAGGCAAGGAATTAGATTCCGTGGCTCTAGAAGCAAAAGCATCACTTTCATACAACTGTTTTTTATAATACACACAGTAGAGAAATATGCCTTCAAGAGTGGATTGGTGGCGAAAGGGGAACAGCTACCCTAATGCAATAACCACCTCAGTGACAGAAGCAGATATTTCTAAGCACAGTATTAAGGTCGTATATTTCACTAGCCATTAAGCTTGTTTCTCAATTGGAACTTTGAGAAATAAAGGAGCTGAGTAGGTATTTTTCAATCCTACATGATAGTAAGTAGCAACCAACACAAAAATCTAGATTTCAGGCAGGCAAGATGTGCTTTATTTCTCTCCTGTACTAACTTTCCCTACTTTATTCCCTTGACATGCGGCATGCTAAATCGCTTTGTCCTGTCTGACTATTTGTGATCCCATGGACTGTAGCCTGCCAGGCTCCTCTGTCCATGGGGATTCTCCAGGCAAAATACTAGAGTGGGTTGCCATTTCCTACCTTACAGGTCTTAGTTCATGTTTTTCTCAAGAAGCCTTCTTTACAACCTCATTCTGCTGTTTGGGGGTGCTTGGAGAAAACTGGACACCCAAGAGGTCCCTATAATAGAACTGGAAGCTACCATACAACTGTTCCACAATACTGGAGTATATACGTATCAAAACTTATCTAATTAAATGCTTCAAATAAGTGCATTTTATTGTATATAAATTATACTATCATCAAGCTATAATAAAGCTATGTTAATAAAGAAGGGAAATAGCAAGTATAATATTGATAATAGTACATTAGAAACACAACACAGAGACCACTTTAAAATAAAATCCTTTATTAGGAATATTTGCCCTTTAAAATTTTATGTTTAAAAATTCTATGTGCGTGTGTGTGTGTATATGTGTGTACAAAGCACTATGACAATTCCCTTCAACCCATAACATCCCTAAGACTTTTGTTAAGGGATGTTATTCACTGACCACTATTTTCTTATTAACACTTCATTTAATGGCTACCCAAGAAGAGACGGAAAGTCATCACACTATTTCAGGAGTAATAATGCTGTCTTTACCAACTAAGGTTATAGAGTGTGGAACTGTGCTAGGTAATTAAAACGCAAATTTGAAACAACAGGGTTCCTTGAGATCAAGGAGAAATGCTTAGTGCAAGTACTCTGTTTTATTTCTCCTGTCTCTAGAGAAGTGTTAATCAACCATCGGCTTGGCTCGGGAATATCCAGAGGGCTTGTTAAATAGAGACAAGCAGACCCAGTCCCTGGAGTTTCTGGCATGGTGCATGGGAAGGCTGTGCAGAAGGGCTGAGAATTTGCCTGTGCACTGGATTCCCACATGATGCTGATGCTGCAGATCTAGGGAACCATGCTTCGCAAAGTCATCCTCCATGCTGGCTGCAGTTGCAGTTACAAAAAGCTAAAAACGAAACGAAACAAAAACACAGCCCAAGGGTCACCTCCGTATATGGAATCAAAACTTTTGGTTCTGAGATCAGGTACTGGCATTTTAAAAGTTCCCCAGTAGAATCTGATGTGAAGATAGAATTTAGAACTACTATTCCAGAACTGAGCAAAGCCTCTAGCAATAGTATAGTTTAGTAAGTGTTATTTTTTAAAGTGAGTGAATTAATGAACATGTAAATGATTCTGTGGGCCTCGCTTGTGGCTCAGCCAGTAGAGTCTGCCTGCAATGCAGGAAACCCGGGTTTGATTGCTGGGTATCTAAGATCTCCTGGAGAAGGAAATGGCAACCCACTCCAGTAGTTGTGCCCGGAGAATTCCATGGACAGAGGAGCCGAGTGGGCTGCAGTCCTTGGGGTCACAGAGGGTCGGACACGAATGAGTGCCTAACACATGCATAACACACACGTGTAAATGATTCTTGTCCTCTGATGGTATGAGATTATACAACATTGATGCAATATAGCATTGATAAACTTGTACTAGATTTATAACAAAGCATAATGAAGGGTTTTTTTTTTTTAGGAAAGTTATGTATTATGAAAGTTGATGCCATTCATAAGCTATGATCATTTATTCCATCTGGAAAAGAGGAATAAATGTGCCGTCTAAACGCAGATGTAAATTTGGACTCTTCCACTATAGGCTGTGGGAATGACTCACTCCTTTCTGTTTCATGTTTCAGCTGCAGTGGGATTAAATGAGATGCCCATGCAGGAACTCCAGCCCCTTCAGTGGCAGAGATTTAGTGTATTATATCTTGTTTCTCTCTCTTTTTCATATTACTTAAACTGGAACAGAAAGTAAGAGGAAATATGAGATCAGGAGTGAATTCTAAAGGAAAAGGAAGGTGGCGACTTGGTGTATTCGGAGAATCCACGTGTGGCATCTGACAGAACTGAGCATCTCTTAACTAACAGAAATGAGAGGAGAAAATCTAGGTGATAGCAATTCTTAAAACTTATACACAAATGGGACTTATACATCCATTTGTGAATATGCAGACCTGGTCCAAGGGCCTAGATTAAAAAATTCTGCTCCAGAATTTCAAGTGGGACTTCCCTTGTGGCTCAGAGGATAAAGAATCTGTCTGCAATTTGGGAGACCTGAGTTTGATCCCTGGGTTGGGAAGATCCCCTGAAGGGAATGGCAACCCACTCCAGTATTCTTATCCTTCAATTAAAAAATAAATAAGTGAAAAAAAAAAGAATTTCAAATGAAGGAAAGTAGGAAGTGGTAAAGCATGATTTGGTAAAATCTGGTTTAATCTTGTATAGAAAAAGACTTAGATATAAAGACAACTTATCCAAGAGTTAAAGAGATATTATAAATCAAAACACAAGTACATTTATATGCACTGTAGGGGGGGAGTCAAGACAAGTAAGACCCGAAAGCAGAGATGACATTTGGATACATGTTGCACTCAGCATGCTGATTTCCACAGATCAGGGCTCTTACGGGCATCTGACCCAAGTGTTGTCAAGTACAGGCTTCCCTGGTGAACTCAGCTGGTACAGAATCCGCCTGCAACGCAGGAGACCCCGGTCTGACTCCTGGGTTGGGAAGATCCACTGAAGGGACGGGCTCCCCACTCCACTATTCTTGGGCTGCCCTGGTGGCCCAGCTGGTAAAGAATCTGCCCGCAATGTGGGAAACCTGGGTTCCATCCCTGGGTTGGGAAGATCCCCGGGAGAAGGGAACAGCTATGCATTCCAGTATTCTGGCCTGGAGAATCCCGTGGACTGTATAGTCCATGGGTTCTGTCACGTACAGCCAACCACAAGACTCCGAGTGGCTGGTGGCTCAGCTACTTCTCATGTGCCTTTCAAACAGTGCTCTGAACGGGATGTCATGTTTCTGCTCAAAAAAGTGATTAGAGGGGACGGTCAACAAAGTGACGGTCCCTTTGTTTCATGTTGGTCGTTACCACTAATATTGGGAAATCTGAGCAGCTAAAAAAATGCCATTTTTCTTAGAGGGTAAATATTGCATGATTAATTTTTGTTTTAATTGATGAGCAGAAGAATGAAACACCACCATCGCTGCCACCACCATCTGCTGCTGCTGCTGCTAAGTCGCTTCAGTCGTGTCCGACTCTGTGAGACCCCATAGACGGCAGCCCACCAGCCTCCTCTGTCCCTGGGATTCTCCCGGCAAGAACACTGGTGTGGGTTTCCATTTCCTTCTCCACACCACCATCGACTCCATCTTGAATTAACATGCTCATTTGCTCACAGAACCCCAAGTTTTCTTATTAAAAATAAAGCTGAACAAATCAGCCAACACATGTGATTTAATTCCTCAGTTTGAACAAAATTAAAATGTTTAAGAATTCCCAAGCCAAATCAATTTTCATAGAATTTCATTTCCTTAATAAAATAGGATAAAACTTCGTGATAGACCATACAGATTATATTAGATTATATGCTCACTCTACTCCTGTTCATTTACACATGTGTGAAGCCATCTCAGAAGCAATTCAGGGAGCAAAACACAGACAAACAACAGACCTACTTTTGCTGATAACTCTTTTCTGTCTAGCCAACTGTTCTATTTTCAGAGGCATCTTGTTTTTTCTTTAAGAAGGATTGCTACTAAATTGTGTTACAGCTGATGACACAGAAGCAATAATAGTGGTGAAAAAAACCTGGTAACACGGGGAAAGGAGGTAACACCCACAAATCCGGGGATGGGCTCTGTGGGCTAAATAAAACTTTTTCGCAGAACAGCTTGTCCGAAATGAGAGCACATGTTCCACGGTAACCAGACACCATGTCACTGTACTGTACAGAAGAAGCAGCTTCACCGATTTGGAAGCCGATCTTTTTTTAATCTGGAGAAATTCAACTCTAAAGGAAGGGATGTCCTAGAACAGTGTGTCTGCTTCTGCTCAATTTTTTTCCTCTAAAGAACATTTTGAAGGAAAAACCATACACAAAATAAAGTAGAATCTAAATATACTAAATACACTGTCATCTGATAAAAACAAAAGATATCATAAAATAATTCTGTCATTACCAAAACAGTTCAGATGAATAAAGTAGATTTACGAAATAAATATCAATTTCAAAGACAGAATGCCTCTTAATGAGCATGCTCAGAAGAGCGTATAATTAAGCATGATAATTCAATCCATGTATTTTTCATTGCATACTTAGCATGGGCCCAGTATTTTGCTTGATTATATACTTTTAATTCTAAAAGGCAGTTTCTTATTATTTCACTATAGGTTTTCTACAATCATATACTTACTTTTATCGTACATATATGTGCATTCACACTTTATACAGGTATGACCTGCTTTATAGAATAGATGTGTTCCTGAAAAGGTTAGTTTATATTTGTATTTGGTAAATTAACAGATAGTGTAGCTTTAGTGAAAGGAATGGAAGCATGTTATTTAA